GCAAGTTGCAACCCTTTTTTGTGTCCCAACATGCTCATTCGCTTATAATTTATAAATAGCCCAAGGCCTCAAGTTCTTGCTACTCATCAAACACATAAACACTGTCATACACTTTCAAACCAGAGCCCAAACATTGGTGGTAAAACAGAGCAACCCAAGTGAGGAAATGGCAGCAATCAACACACAGCCAGAGCAAGAGCCAAAGAAGAAGGCAATGAAAAAGAAGAACTCAACTGCAATTGAGGGGGTGGTCTTGGGGAAGGGCAACACAACAACATGTGGTGAAAAACCAGAGATTGCATCTGTAATTCCAGCAAAGAGAAGGTCAGTGAAAAAGATGATGTTTGATTCCATTGTCCAATCTGCGTCCTCTTCTCTTTCTTGTATCTGTGATGATCCTGTTGGCTCTGTTGAACCAAAAAAGGAAAAAGTCCAAATAACCAAATGACCCCATAGCCATAGATGGTCATGTATCAGAGTTTGCTGCTATATACTTCAAAAAAAAGGCCATGTACTACTAATAGATATGTTTTCTTTTCCCTACTTGTTGCAATTAAAGTTTTAATTATTTCCTCAATTTGTTTCCTCCTCCTTTTCTTTTTTTTGGGTTAAATCTGGGTGATCAAAATCACCTGCTTACTGGTGCACATTCTGAACAAGGACGGTGACGGTCTTCCTAGTCCTCACCTTCAATCTCATGTCAGCATCCTGCAAGCCTCGACGTATTTCTGCCTCTTTGCGTGGTCGGTGTCCTGTTTCTTGCAGCTTTGCTTTCTTTCATGTTAGTCTGTCCTGTTTGTGGGACGAATCTTTTGTATTTGCTCTCTTTGTGGCGTTTTGGCCTTTTAATGAAAGCTATCTCAGACCCCACCCCAAAAAAAAAAAAAAAAAAAAAAAAAAAAAAAAAAAAATAATTGATATAATTTGTAGCGTAGCTTTAACCATGTTCCTAATTCATGTGTTCAAATCAAATTTCCAGAGATTAATTCATTCATGCATGTGTTCACAAATAAGGTAAGGGGGGTTGCCAATTTCAACTACTTGAATCGTCTTTCATTCGGAACCTCATAAATTTTTTATTGGCCATTTATGCAAAAGGGTAGCAAAAAAGAAAAAGAGCCACTGAGCTATGCACCTATTGACGTGTACCTTTTTGCTCTTAGTTTTGATGAATTATGAAGCACTCTGAGTTTTTTGCTTTAAAATTTCTCTATTGTTCACATAGTTTGATATGACAAGATGATCATGAGTTTGTATGGAAGAGGAATGAAACCCATGACATGCATGCCCCATAGCTGATCATAGCCAAAACAGTTGAAGACCCCACAAACCTCATATTTCAAAGAGAGGAGAATGATGAATCAATATCAGATTCTTAATTCTGATGTCAAAAGGTCACTCAAAAAAATTATTATGCCAAAAGGAACTAACGGCATAAAACAAAAAGAAGGAAACTTAAAGCTTTGGTTCAATTTAATTTATCATCTTAATTTTAATGAAAATTATTTAAGCAACACTAATTATTAGTAATTAAACACAGCAAAACAAGTAATTATCAGCTCTTTTAATGCATGAAATGTAATTTACCATAACTCACCCTTCCAAATGTCTTAATTATAGTATCAGAAATGGAAAAAAAAATTCAAGTGGGTCCTTCATTACAGACAAGGAATTAGAATATTCTCATTCTTATTAGGCACATGCAAGACTGCAACAAAGCACTTTAGTTAGAAGATTGGCCTGAAGACGCCAAAGCTTTACAACAATTTCTCTTCTCTTTCTGTTGTCCCAGTTCTTTCATTTTGATTGCTGTTGGAGCTTGGTACTGTGTTTCATTTTGATTTCTATAACATCTTCATTGTGATTTTCCAAATTTGAACACAATCCTTCAAATGGTAATCAAAGCCATTGTTCAGACCATAAAATTTTATGAAAATGACTCCATCTTGATAAGCATATCTTTCCCTTTTTCCCTTTGATCTTTGTGTAATGATCCAATGAGAGAGGGCAAAGGCACCCACCACTAGGAAGCTCCAATAAAATCATCTGAACTTTTCTGTGCTCCCATAAAATCATCTGAACTTGTAAAAAACTCTGATATATATTCTTTTTCCATTTGGGTCTCTTTGGGGTGTGGACTGAAAAGGTTTAATCAACTTTGCGAACCAGACACAACCATACACTTCCCTTATCACTTTGTGAGCTCCTTTTGCTTTTTGACGTGTCCATATTTTCAAAGACTTAGGGATTTGGTAGTTACACTGTTGCAATCAGCGTCATTCCATGGAAGAAACTCTGTGTGTTATGGCAACAGCAGAGAATGATCCATCCAAATTAATCATGATAGTGTATAAACAATACTTAAATTCTGATTTAAAAACTCTAAATTGAACACGTTTTATAATTTGACTGTATTTGTAACAATGTGGTGTTACCGACGATGGAAATTCGTGGTAATGGGTCATATTCTTGTTGTATCATTTTTCGGTTGTGTTAAAACTAACCAATAGCCTAACCGACCCATTTCTAATTATGATGTGTTCAGATTGATCTGTGAAATGTGAATGAAATTCTTTTAACCCTAGGTTTGCTTTACTACTAAAAGTTCACTTAATTATAAAATACACACAAAATCAGAAAGTGCCTTTTATATATTCTTTTAACCCTAGGTTTGCTGTTCTGCTGCCTCTTATTCTACTCATAATTAGACGATTGTTTACCCTCTGGCCACTTGCCACTTTTAAAAGTGTCCAAAGACCGACCCCAAAAGCTGAACCCTCTCCCATTAAGAGGTGAGATGCATTTGACGACCTCTAATCGTTCCCAAATGCATTCTCCTTTCTTTTTCTTTTTTTAATTATTGTTTCTCTTTCTTCTTGCCTCCATCTCTCTCTTGCTATACACGTGTCCACAATTTGCTCTTGCAAGTTGCAAGTTGTAGCCCTTTTTTGTGCCCTAAACATGCTCAATTCAATTGCTCATAAATAGAAGCTCAAGGCCTCAAGTTCTTACAACTCATCAAACACATAAACACTACTGCACACTTACAAACCAGAGCCCAAATATTAGTGGTAAAACAGAGGATCCAAGTGAGGAAATGGCAGCAATCAACACAGAGCCAGAGCAAGAGCCTAAGAAGAAGGCAATGAAAAAGAAGAACCCAACTGCAATTGAGGAGGTGGTCTTGGGGAAGGGCAATATACTTAAAAAAAATAAAGCCATCTACTAATAATAGATATGTTTTCTTTTCCCTACTTGTTGGAATTAAAGTTTTAATTATTTGTTTCTTCCTGTTTTTCTTTTCTTCTTTTATGTGGGCGATCAAAATCAATTGCTTAATTGTGGCTAACCATGTTCCTAATTTACTTGTTCAAATCAAATTTCGTAGGGGTTTATCACACACACACTCTATCATGATGTTATAAGATTTGAACCTGAAACCACTAATCTACAAGTCAATATCATTTTTTACTGAGTTAGAATCCGTTTGACTACACACTCATGATTTTGAGAGAGTGCAAAAAGAGAAAACTGAAGTTAATTGAAAATTGAAAGAATTAATATTGTAAAAGCAGCAGGAATTTTGCAAGAAAAAAGGATCAAGAGGAGGGAGTTGAGTCTAGTGGCTTTTCTTACCCCACTTTTAGCCAACTTCTTCCTCTGCAGCCAACTTCTCCAAAAAACCAAGTTCCAAGAAATGCAAGCAGATAGTCCCACACCAGCACCATTAGTGGCAGAGAATTATGAGGCTTTAAATTTCTCAGTTTAATTTGGTACCTTATGGATGGTTGAAGAGGAATGAGACCATATGGATGGTTTAAATTTCTCAGCTTGTAATGAATTATATTATACAAAGTTAATTTGCAGGGCCTTTTATCGATGTGCATGCATATGATGATCTTTTCGGATGAATTCACTAATTGAACACTCATTCCCCAATTTAACACGCAAGTTTTGTGAAATACTGAGAGAGAAAATTAAAAAAGAGCGTGATTGGGAATGTAAAACCCCACCAATGACTAGTCAAACCTTTAAAATTGCAGTTAATTAAAAAAATGTTCTACAAAATCCAAACAAAAGCTTGGCAAGTTGGCATGTACAAGAGTTTTGGGTCTTCATTGCAAGATTGTGCCTAAAGTTGTTATCAGCCATTAGATTCAAACATTTAGAAAGCTATTTCTATCTCTCCTTTATTGATCCAACGATTAATAACAGCCTCTCGCAATTGAGAATAATTTCTAGAAGGAATTCAATATCTATTTCACAATTCTCATTAGAGATACATCCAAGAAATTTCTAGATGATCAAAAGTTTTAATGTCCCCACAAACGACTAGTCACGCCTACAACTTATGCACCCTTTTGAACCAAAAGAATAAATAAATAAATAAAGAGAAGTAAAATGGGGAGGTTGCTTTGGTCCCATTTATCTATCTCTCTCATGTCTCATGATCATGAGCTAAACAAAACTAATAAAACAATTAATGATAAAAGAGGGATTAAACTCATTTTATAAAAGTAAGGCACTTGTAACTCACATGATTAAGAGTACCTACTTTGCATTATAGATTTTATGTTTAACTTCCTTTACGGCTTTTATAAAATAAATATAAAAAATAGAAAATAGAAAATAACGATTTTATAGAAGCTTTAGAAGGGTGATGCCACAACTTTAATCGCATTTATATGTCGGCCAATTAAGAAGTTAAATTTGAAATCTGAAATGTCAAGCTTCTAGAGACTAGTTAGCAACCTCAGTCTTACAAGCACATGCCTAATACGTGTCACTAGGCTGATTGGTGGCCTTGGAGGCTTCTTGCCCAAGGCTCAATCCACTTGGATGTATGCGGCTATGCCCCCAGTGCTTTCTCATTTACCGAAATTCCCCTCATCTTCAAATTGAAATCCCATTTTCTTCTATAAAGAGACTTTTTAGGCCTCCGGTCCTCCACTTATACACCAAACTCAGAAGAGTCAGGTTGGCAAAAAGGCAGCAGAAAAATGGTGGCCAAGCTGCAGAACACAGGTGAGGGAGTGAAGGTGCTCGCAGACAAGCCCAAGGCAGAGGCTAATTATTGGTTCAAACCCAAGAAGGGGAGTGTTTTCCCCGCAAAGAGAAAGTTGGTGAAGACAATGGTTTTTGATTCCATAGTGAAATGGGTTGCCTCTGTTTTCTACTCTGCCCTTCCTCCACCTCCTCCCTCTGGAGCCCCAGCCAACCAACCCAACATCAACAAAGTACCAAATTCCAAGAAATGCAAGCAGATAGTACCCTGGTAACTTGGAAACGTTGAAGAATATAGTTCCGCATCGGAATTTTACATCATTAATGGTGACAAATTGATGGAAGAACATGTACAGGCTGTTTGTTTTCTCTTCTGGTTTCTTTTTTTCTTTTTTTCTTTTCATTTGGAATTGGCATGAACAGGACTGAGAATCCATCAATTTATGTACACCAGCTTTTAGTTTTAATGAATTTCTCTTGCTTTTTTGAGTTTCCCAGTTTCTGGTGGTAACTAATTTTCCAAGTTTGGAGCTTTTAACAGTTACTTTAGATTTCCCAAATGATCGTGTCATGAGGCCCCCACTCAGATTTTTAATGTTAGTTTTGGAAGAGGAATGAGACCCATGATATGCATGCCCAGCCCATAGCTGATCATAGGCTCATAGCCGAAAAGGCTAAGACCCCACAAACCCAATATTCAAAGATTAGAAACACTGGAGAATGATGAATCAGTGTCAGATTCTTCATTCTTTTTTCCCCCCCTTCTAGCTGACAATTAATGAGCATGAACCAAAAAGAAGAAAAATTAAAGCTTGTGCTGGACCTAGATGTTCAAAGCAAACGACACAACATGACAACTTCGGTTCGATTTAATTTATCATCTTAATTATTACAAATGAAAACTATTTTAGCAGCACTAATTGTATGATATTATTAATAAAACACTACGTACAGTCAAACAAGTAGCTATCTATCAGCTTGTCATACATGTAAGGTAATTTACTGTTAACCCTTCCAATTTTACTGTTAGAGTGCATTATATAACACTACAAAACCAACACCCCCCACCACCCAAAAAAAATTCGGAGGATAACACCCTATCGGAAAAGCCATTTTGCAGTCGAAAAGCCTTTTCCAAGGGCAATTACTTTAATTGATGACTTAAGCTATAAGTTCAAAAATTAATTGGGAATTAGGCAACTATCTTGCCTGCTTGTGCTTAGGGCCTTACTAGGGCTCATTGATGAGTTTCTCTAAGACTATAATGCATAATTTATTTTAGTTGGATACAGTGGCGAAGCTAGAATTTCATGTGTGTTGGGGCCTCTCACAAAATATAAACAATAAAAAATTTGAACTCAGAAGACATACTAAAACATCAAAAATCATATTGTGTATTTATAACAATTATCATTGTTCTGGATGAGTTTTCATATTTTGAAATCGTTGCATAACAACCTCGTCATCTATACTATTAAAAATGTATATCAATATATGCAACGAAGCAATCATTCATCTATAAATTGAAAAACCTATTAAAATCAATAAGAAGAAGAAGAAGAAAAAAAAAATCAAAATTTCACGAACTAAAAAATAAATAAAGAAAGAAAAAAAATAAAAAATAAAAAAGAGAACTACTAAAAAAACTTCAATTGAATAAATTTACCTAATTAAAACTTGATAGTTTAATATGGAGTTTGAGAGAACAACTCACAGGCAGTGCATTGAGAAAGTCTGCTTTGCTGCTTGTGTATCTCCAAGACAGGAGAAAAATGGGTTAGGTTTTTATCAATTTTTGTAAAAGGGTAAATATATAATAATAAGAGCTATAAACCTTTGAGAAAAGGAAAGGGAAGTGGCTTAAGCTTGGTGGAAAGGATTTGGCTGCTGGGCCACGTGATAAAATACACACATTATAAGGAAGTTCAACAGGGACTGCACTGGTCCCTACGTGCCTCCGCCCCTGCTTGGATAGTATATTCCACTCGTCCTACCACATGATAAGGAAGTTCTCACCTAAGTCTTTCTCACTTTGTTAAGTCTTCAAGGCTTTTTTTTTATTTTTTAAATACAAGTTATTATGTAAATTATATTATAATTTACGTAAAAAAAGATTCGAACTTGAGTGTACCAGGGCACATTGCCCAAATTTTATCACAAAGTCAAGGTTATATTGCATTAGAAAAGAAAAAAAAATCTTATTATCGCAATTAATAGAAGTATTTATAGATAGAATAGATGTTGCTACTCAATCATGCGACGAAGTTGGTGTGATAACAATATAACCATATTGAATGGCACGTGTTCTGTTAGTTTTGTTAAGAGATTCTGTTAGAGTGTTAAGAGAGTCTGTTAGTTTGTTATATAAATACTATTACAGTGTAATCATTCTTTACCATAATCAATACAGAGCCTTCTATTTCTCAGACTTCTTCTTCTTCCTTCTTCTTCTTTCTTCTTCTTTTCTCAGTATTCTTCTACTGTTATCATGGTATCAAGAGCTTCGGTTCGATTCTGAGGTCTATTTGCTTCCGCATTCTCTTCTTCCTCGTTTCTCTACTTCTTTCTTCTGTCAATCTCAAATCATGATCTCTCAATTTCTCTGCAATTTTCTCCAAAACAAATTTTTCGTTCTGTGAAACCCTAATTTTGATTTCATGGCTTCCTCTCTCAAAATTGACGGCCTTTTGGGCATGCTTACCATTTGGCTTAACGATGATAACTTCTTGAAGTGGAGTTATCAACTGGAGTCGGTACTCCAAGGCTACGATCTGTTCGGCCACTTCGATGGTTCATCTGTTGCTCCTCCCAAATTCGCCATTGTTGATGAAGAAGACGCTACTTCTAAGCTCACTGGGGCCTATAAAGACTGGCTTCGCACAGACAAGGCACTCTTGAGCCTTCTTATTGCATCTTTGTCAGATGAAGCACTTGAGTATGTCATCGGGAGTCAAACAGCTAGAGAGGCCTGGCTTCATCTCTGTGATCGCTACGCCTCTGTTTCTCGAGCAAGAATTAATCAACTGAAAACAGAACTGCATACAGCTCAAAAAGGTGGAGACAACATTGAGCGATTCTTGCTTCGTCTGAAACACATTCGTGATAAATTGTGTGCGACTGATGTGCTAATTTCCGATGATGATTTTGTTATCGCTGCGTTGAATGGTTTGCCACCAGAGTATGCTATAATCAAGACTGTGTTGATTGCTTATGATTCTCCAATCACTCTTAAGGATTTTCGCGCTCAACTCCTAGCTGCAGAGCAAACTGCTGAGGCTCGCATTGTTCATCACTCAGGTCTGTATGCTGCGAATTCATCTTCTAGTGTTCAACCCTCTTCTGTTGCTTCTGGTCAAGGCTTACTGCCTACTCCTTCTCATCCTCTGCCTCATGTGCATTCGTCTCATGGTCGGGATAGCTCAGCTGGTAGAGTAGAGGACTGAAAATCCTCGTGTCACCAGTTCTGCTGAATCGGCCTATTTCTTGCGTGTACCAATTGAAGTATTTTGAAAAAAGGAACTGAAGAATGAATACTTTGCAAGAGAGAAAAAACTCAAGAATCCTCGTTTTTTTATATAGCATAACTTAACTGAAGTTTCTTCAGAACGCTTATTCGAGCCAAAGCAAACGTTACGAAATAATTCTAAAACAAAATAGTTTGTGTCCACAATTTTTTTTATGCGTATGTAAACCCACTTAACTCAATTCAGTAACAAATCTAAATACTAGATTCATCATATATTAATTGTCTTCTCATGAATCTTCTTCACCATCTATGCCTCCTTCTATGCATTCTATGCAGACAAGGTCTAAGAGTGGTATTGTCAAGCCTAAGCCATTTGAGGATTATCAATGTTATCTTACTACTATTCCATCCTTTCATGAAGCTGCTGAACCAGCTACTTATTAGGCTGCATCTCAGTCCTCTGTTTGGATATAGGCTATGAGGGAAGAAATCGAAGCTTTGCACACCCAAGGTACATGGGATTTAGTTCATATGCCTGTGGATAAAAACATTGTTGGTAGCCGATGGGTTTATAGGGTCAAGAAGAACTCAGATGGGTCTGTAGCAAGGCATAAGGCTCGCTTGGTTGCACAAGGTTTCAGTTAATCTCCTGGTCTTGATTTTAGTGAGACTTTTAGTCCTGTTGTAAGGCATACAACAGTTAGATTGGTTTTGAGCATTGCTGCTATGAATAGGTGGTCTCTTAGACAACTTGATGTGAAAAATGTTTTTCTTCATGGTGATCTTGAAGAAGAAGTGTTTATGCATCAACCTCAAGGTTTTGAAGATTCTGCATATCCAACCCATGTTTGTCGATTGAGAAAATCTCTTTATGGGCTAAAGCAAGCACCCAAAGCTTGGAATGCAAAGTTCACAGGTCATCTTCTAGCCCTTGGTTTTACTATTTCTCATTCTGATCCAAGTCTCTTTGTTAAGCATATTGGTTCAGCATATTGGAGGGTGACTCTTTATCTGATCCAACCATCTACAGGAGTATTGTTGGGGCACTGCAGTATTTGACATTCACTCGGCCTGATCTTTGTTATGCTGTTAATACTGTCTGTCAGTAATATGACTCAACCTTCATATTTACATTTTTAGTTGGTTAAGCGCATCTTGAGATATATTCATGGTACTTTGGATCATGGTTTGAATTTTACAAGCGGTTCTTGGGATCTTCATGCTTATAGTGATGCATATTGGGCTTCAGATGTGAATACACGCAGATCTACTACTGGTTTTGTGGTTTATCTTGGAAACAATCCAGTTTCATGGCAATCTAAGAAGCAAAATTCTGTTTCTAGAAGTTTAACTGAGGCACAGGGCATTGGCTAATACAGCAGCTGATCTAGCTTGGGTTCGACAGGTTTTACTTAATTTAAAGATATTCTTACCACAGCCTCCTACCATACATTGTGACAATCTTTCAGCCTTTGCTTTAAGTTCAAATCCTGTATTTCATTCTCGAATCAAGCATTTAGATATTGACTTCCATTTTGTACGAGAAAGAGTACAGAAGAAAGACTTGATTATGCAGTATATTCCCACTGAAGAACAAGTAGCAGACATCTTCACAAAGGGATTACATGGTCCTATTTTTCTGAGACATTGCAGGAATCTGCAACTTAGCAGCTCAGTTGGGTTTAAGGGGGAATGATAACAATATAACCATATTGACTGGCACGTGTTCTGTTAGTTTTGTTAAGAGAGTCTGTTAGTTTGTTATATAAATACTATTACAGTGTAATCATTCTTTACCATAATCAATACAGAGCCTTCTATTTCTCAGACTTCTTCTTCTTTCTTCTTCTTTTCTCAGTATTCTTCTTCTGTTATCAGGCATGTGAGGAATTTCTCTTGTCTCTTGTATTTTCAAACCAAGTTGGTCACTGCGGTCGGAAATGTGAGACACGATGTGTGTATATATCCAAAGACAAACGAGGAAAAAAGCAAATAATGGTCCTAGAGAGAAGATTCTTTTCCTGGAGGGAAAAGAATATTATGAGATGCTCTCCATAAAGACGCTTGTTTTGTTTAGTCTCAGGAATCTGCTCTAATCTTTTTGCTTTTACACTCCATGCATAAAACCCGAGCTTGGATTGATCATTTAAATAGAATCTTAGTCTCGGGTTGTTTTCTCACAACACAAGTAATCTTTCTCTCCCCGCCTAGTCTAATACGGCTGCCAAGCCAATAGTGGTTGCCTCCTACAACAGTGGTCACAACACATGTAATTTTTCAACTTTAACCCTAAACCCTAAAATTTGTACAACTTCTTTGTGTCAAACTCAAAGGCTGTCCCAATAATTGTGGTTGCAGATCCTATGAAGGAGGCAGAGAATGTTGTAACCAAAACCACTTTAAGACCCCTTTTCTTTTTCTAAATTTCTTTCCCAAATCAACTGATGCATATCTCCAACAACCCTTCCTTGCATTTTCTTTGTAAGTTGAGAAAGATTATTGTTGACCCTCGGCACATACCGAGCCCATCCGTCCAATAAAAACACGACGCGCGGGCCCAACAAATCCCTCTCGACCTCGACCTTTGAGCTGCCTTAGGAAACTCAAGAGGATGTGAATCGTCCACGTCGATGACAAGACCTCCCCGGCCACAGGTCCCTCACACCTCATAGAATGTACCTACGTCCCCTTTAGTAGAAACATAGAGGTCATTATGAGCAGAGGACATAGACGAAATCTGACCACCCATCATCTGACAAATCTAATGTGACATAAACGGCCCGACTCCGAGCCAAGGTGGCTTGTAAATTAATTCATTTAGTTCTCCCTATAAATAGAACATAAATTTTTGTAGAAAGGGACGATCGAGAGATCCCTTCAATACTAAGCGGAATAAAAGAGAAAAGCCTAGTCCCGTCTCTTTGATCCGTATTTTATTCCCCATCAAGCTTCTCATCTCCTGGAATCACATATAGAATCTTCATATGTTAGCCACTGGAATATCTGTGGTTGAAACAATTATAATCCTCACCTTTAATTTGAAGGAAAGGGGAAGCACCATATTTAACTTGAGAGGATGGGGGAAAATAAAACTACTTAGAGAGGATATTATGGGATTGATTGAGTTGGAGGAAGTTTTTCTGTAGTTTCCCACGACGGGACTCCCTTTCCTTCTCGGAATTATCCACCTTCATATTCTTATTTTATTTTATTTTGTCTTTATTTTTTCGTTTGTACGATACGATAATGTAAACCACGAGTGACTAGTCAAACTTTTCAAATTGCAGTAAATTGAAAAAAAAAAGTTCCCCAAATTCGTGTGGAATGTACAAGGAAGAGTTTTTCTCTAGTGTTGGAGGCCCGATGCGGGACTGTGTGGGACTTTGTTATCAGCCATTAAATCGAGTAAAGGACACATTTAACACTTGTTCCTTGAATCCAACGGCTGATACTAGCCTCCCGCATCAGTCCCACATATTGAACCCTTGCAAATTGCACTGGAGAAAACTGGTAGGAAGGAGGAATTCAACATCTATTCCACAATTCTTCTACTTTTGGAAAGGATCGAAACGTCCAAGCAGTTTCCAAAAGAAGTAGATAAATATGGGTTATTTGGAGTTACCTAGCTCATCTCATGTGCCACTGCCAAGGGAGGAAAGTGATAGGACAATTGTAGCAAAATCACACCCCTACAACTTCTAAAAGAGAGACTTTGGGCCTTTTGTCAGAGAGCAGAGAGAGCAGAAAAATGGTGGCCGGGCAGCAGAATTCAGGTGAGGGAGTGATCACAACCAATTATTGGTTCAAACCCAAGAAGGGTAGTGTTTTCCCAGCAAAGAGGAAGTTGGTGAAGACAATGGTTTTTGAATCCATAGTGAAATGGGTTGCCTCTGTTTTCTGCTCTGCGCATCCTCCTCCTCCTCCTCCACCTCCGTCTGGAGCCTCAGCCAACCAACCCAACATGACCCCCGTGGGCAAAGTAGCAAATTCCAAGAAATGCAAGCAGATAGCACCACAGTGAATTGGAAAGGGTGACAAAAGTCCAATAAAATCCATGCCACCTCTGAAGATTTTAGTTAATTTCCTATTCCATATATGTGGGTGTGGGTTGATAAATTGATAGAAGTCCCCCTATCCTATTCTGTCAATTTATCACCCCACACCAACATTCACAGTTTCTGTTTTCTTTTCTTTCCTTGTTTTTGGTTGATTTGGAATTTGCTTCATCAGGATTGATGATCCATCAATTTGTCTGCTGTGGCTTTTAGTTTCAAATTCAATGAATAATCAAGCACTTTGAATTTCCCAGTTTCTGGTGCCAACCAACTATATTTTCACAAGTTTGGAGCTTTTAACAGTTACTTAGATTTCCCGAAATGATCATACATGTTTGTTTGGAATTGGAAGAGGAATGATGAATCCAAAAAACTTAAAGACCCCACAATATTCAAAGACAAGAGAGAATGATAGATGTTCATTGTTTTTTTTCTTTTCTAGCGGAAGAACCATAAGGTTGTACGAAGCAAACAACACAAACATGACTAATTGCATATGTTAGTAAGACAGTCAAAGCAAGTAGCTATCAGCTTTTCATGCATGCAAGGTAATTTACCGTTACACCTTCCAATTGTCTTACTTATAACATAAGAATTGCAAAGACATTTCCAAATATATAACATGTGGTCGGAAAAGACTATTTCAAGTTCAACATGTACCTTAAAGCATGCATCGGAGGGGGTCCACTGTTTTTAGGTTCTGACACTAGCACACGTTAAAAGGAGAAACTATCTATACAGATGAAAAATTATTATGTGTTACAATAATTAGGGCTCACATTTGTTGATATGAGATGCCAACTCAACTCGATCTGGCATGAATATGACACGATTTGCTAACATGAATAGTGAACATATTAGATTAGTATTTCATGAATTGTTTAACTTTTTTATTTATTTATGCATTGTATGAACAATTGCACAATTACGAGGCCTATTTAAGTATGACTTTGTGGGTATTTATGATTAATCAAGTTTTTAAAGTGTAAATAATGTCTGAAAATGGCCCACAAATCCTTGGCTTGGATTGTAAACGAAAGGCCAAGTCGATAAAACTTTTCACAGTCAACAGAGCAGAAGAGCCAGAGCCAAAGAGACAAAATTAAAAATACCACATGACATGTTAAAGTTGAGATAATGTTATTAGAGCTTCCTATGGTGGATGATTTGGCATTTTGATTGGAGAATTTCTGAAGACAGATGGGAAAAAGTAAAAGATGCTGCCAATCTTTGAAGACGATTTGGTCTTTTCCATAAAATTTCCTGGTCTGAACAGAGGGTTTGATTTCAATTTCAAGGGTCCATCTGTGTTCAAATTTGGACAAGGGTGATGTCAAAAGGATTGTAGTACTAAATTAGGTCTGTGGGCTCCCCTGCTTTATTTATTTTTAGTTATAATTTTTACGTGAACTTGAGAGTGAGATTTAAATTTGAGAACTCGATTTCAACATTAGAATAAAAATATCACTAAACTATGAGCTAATTAGTCTCGCGTACTTTGCATTAATTATTACCCAAACTCATTAACGCAGTTTAATATGGCAACACGCATGCTAAGATTTATTTATTTTGGTCTAGAAGCATGTTTCATTAAACTTGATAAATGAATAGTCAGTTACATAAAGTAAGCTCAATAAGATTCTATTAGAGAGATTTAGGCATATCTTACGGTAAATTCCACAAAAAGAAAAATGTCTATATCCCACTTGCTAAGATAATACACACTGCAAACTAGGGATGCATGACCAAATTCATATATAACACATATTCTATTTTAATTGGGAAGTGACTTCCACTCGTCCTTTTACATGGCACGGAAAGTTCTCACTAAAGTTTTTCTCTCTTTTTTTAGACATAAGAGCAAAAAAAAATTTAAAACTAAAAAAATACAAGTAATATTCTAAATTATCTTAATATACCGAAATTGTGATTCGGAATATTGGAGTGTAAATAGGCGAGCACCCTACCTAGATGTTGTCATGAAGTCAAGCAAAATTAAAAGAAACTATCAACATGATGCTTTGCATATACTAATAAGGAATTTGTTCCGACCTTAGGCCATACTTATAAAGTTGCATGTGCCAGTAGGTGTTTTTTTGAGATGGTGGACAGTAATTGTTTTACTTTATTCAATTTTGGAACGTTAAATAAAAAAAGGCAATGAAAAAGGTAAATGGGGACGATCAAATGTGAATAAATGTTGAGTTAAATGATAAGACTTGTGTCAGCATGACATAGAAGGGACATCAAGGGAACACACAATATGAGGACAGGAGATCCGGACTCCTGTTACTGTAGGCCAGAGAGTAAGCTCCAAAAATTATAACTTATCTTGCACGCAAGAGAGTTCTTTACTTGGGACCCCAAAAAAAAAAAGAAAAAAAAAGGGAGTTGTTTTGATCAGATGAAGGAAGTTGGGTGGGTTTTGATCCGATGAAGAACTTGAGTTTGCTCACAGAGTCCTTTCTTGGTGGTGCAACCATGATGTGCCAAGTGTTGGCACATGATTAAGTTTTGCATTATTTCACATATCCCAGAGCTTTTCTAAGCTGTAGGATTTGAATATTTCTCAAAAGAGAACCTGCTTTAATCTAAAAGGGAATAAAATGAGCTTTTGGTAAAGCAAATTTGATTAATTTCACAACCGATTGACCCCAAATAGTGTTTTAAGAGAGCTGTCCGACAACTTTTTCTTGCAATGCAAGTTGCAAGTTGCTTATATAAACAGCTAAAAGCCTCAAGTAATTGCAACTTATCAAACACATAACACACTAGCTAGTGCACACTTTCAAAAACCAGAGCCCAAATGGAGGAAATGGTATCAATCAACACAAAGCCAGAGCCAGAGATGGCAATGGAGAAGAAGAACCCAACTGCAATTGATGGAGTGGTCTTGGGCAAGGGCAACACAACAACATGTTGCAATAAAACAAGGCAGGCATCTGTGATTCCAGCAAAGAGGAGATTAGTGAAAAAGATGATGTTTGAGTCCACTGTCCAATCTGTGGCCTCTGCTAAGAATGACTAATACCTTATGTCTTTGTTGATAGATATGTTTTCTTGTATCTACTTGTATAAATAAAGTTTTAATTATCCCTTAGCTTGGATTGTAACGAAAGGCCAAGTCGATAAAACTTTTGGAAGATTCACTATTATACCCAATATAAGGGCCCAAATTATAAAAAATAAAAAAAATCCCTATATAAAATGGATTTTAGAAACACACCCAAAGCTTATTTACAACATAACAAAAGACTTTTAACTTTTTATAAATTACAAAATTGTTATCAATATCTTAAAACAAACACAACCCCAAAACCTCATAAAAATACCCAAAACACTCAATAGGGCATCAAGATAATTTAATAATTAAAATTATATTCAATAAGGTCAGCTGTCCTTTTCTGGGTTTTGTTTTTTGTTTTTTTTGTTTATAGAAATTAAATGGTGTAAGGTTTATCTATATTATTAATGCTAAGAATAGGTATAAATATCTCAAAACTTTTCATAGTCAATAATAGCAGAGCAGAAGAGCCAGAGCCAAAGACCCAAAATGAAAAATACCACGACATGTTAAAATTGAGAAAATGTTATTAGAGCTTCCTAGTGGATGATTTAGCCTTCTGGTTAGAGAATTTCTGAAGACAGAAGGGGAAAAGGTAAAAGATGCTACCAATCTTTGAAGACGATTTGCTAGTGAAATAGATATATCTTTGTCCATCAAGATTTTACGTACGAGTCTATGTGGGTCTCACATTCTACCCGAAAATTAATGGCGTATTTCTATTGTCTGCGGGCTTGCTTGGGTTCGTGGGATCCACCTCTTGCCCGGGCTAGACTTGGCGTGTTGGAGTTGGATTTTGGTCCTTAAGCCCCCTGCTGCCCGGGTAGAACGTGAGTGGTGGAAGTGCTCTAGGGGCACACTCGCCTATGGCCTTAGAAAACCATGGACTGGAGAGGCATCCAAGCAGTTTCCAACTTTCCATAGGTGATCGAAAGTTCTAACGTGTCACACAAACAGCCAAATGTAAAACCTTTTTGAACCAAAAGAATTAGATAAATATGGGTTATTTGGAGTTACCTAGCTCATCTCACGTGCCAAGGAAGGACAATTGTAGCAAAATCACACCCCTATAAAGAGAGACTTTGGGCCTTTTGTCAGAGAGCAGAGAGAGAGAGCAGAGAGAGCAGAAAAATGGTGGCCATGCAGCAGAATTCAAGTGAGGGAGTGATCACAACCAATTATTGGTTCAAACCCAAGAAGGGTAGTGTTTTCCCAGCAAAGAGGAAGTTGGTGAAGGCAATGGTTTTTGAATCCATGGTGAAATGGGTTGCCTCTGTTTTCTGCTCTGCGCTTCCTCCTCCTCCACCTCCCTCTGGAGCCTCAGCCAACCAACCCAACATGAACCCCATGGGCAAAGTAGCAAATTCCAAGAAATGCAAGCAAATAGCACCAGAGTGAATTGGAAAGGGTGACAAATGTCCAATCAAATTCATGCCTCTAAATATATATATATATATATATATTAGTTAATTTCCTATTTCATCCATCACAGTTTCTGTTTCTGTTTCTGTTTTCTTTCCTTGTTTTTGGTTGATTTGGAATTTGCTTCATCAGGATTGATGATCCATCAATTTGTCGGCTGGAGCTTTTAGTTTCAAATTCAATATTGAATAAGCAAGCATTTTGAACTTCCCAGTTTCTGGTGCCAACCAACTATATTTTTAAAGCATATGCAGAAGAACCGTAAGGTTGTACAAAACAAACAACACAAACATGACAACAATTCTGGTTCAATAATTTATCATCTTAATTATAAAAGGAAAATGATTTTAGCGGCACTAATTGTATATGTTAGTAAAACAGAGTCAAAACAAGTAGCTATCAGCGTTTCATGCATGCAAGGTAATTTACCGTTAAGCCTTACAACCAATTGTCTTAATTATAACATGTGGTCGAAAAAGACTTTTTCAAGTTCAACATGTTTTTAGGTTTAACACAATAAATTTGTTTTTAAACTAGCACAAGTTAAAAGGAGAAACTCTCTATACAGATGAAAAATTATTATGACATGCCATTGCCAACCCAACTTGATCTGGCACGAATATGACACGATTTGCTAATATGAATAGTAAATATATTAGATTAGTATTACAGGAATTATTTAACTTTTTATTATATACAAAAAATATAAAATATAAAATATAAAAAAAGCCCCACAAACATTTGGCTTCCATGGTAACAAAAGGCCAAGTCAATGAAACTTGGAAGTCGATAAGGGGAAAAGGTAAAGATGCTGCCAATCTTTGAAGACAATTTGGTCATTTCCATAAAATTTCCTGGCCTGAACAAGGTTTGATTTCATTTTCAAGGGTCCATTTGTGTTCAAATTTGGTCAAGGATGTACCACTAGACGATGAGTATGAGGTAATTGGTCTCTCATGCTTTGTATTAGTTATTACCCAAACTCATTAACTCAATTTGATAAGGCAACACACATGCTAAGATAATACACAGTGCAAACTAGGGATGCATGGCCAAATTCATATATAACACATATGACGGAAAATATAACAAAATTGATGACAAGATCAATTGTCCTAATGAAACTGAAGTTGAAGGATCACGGGAACGATTTTGGAAATTAAAAGACCAAAATATAAATCGGGTCAAAAAGAAAAAAAAGAACCCTCTATTTTAATGGGAAGTGACTTCCACTCGTCCTCTTACATGACAAGGAAAGTTCTCACCCAAAATTTTCTATTTTTTTAGACATGACAGCAAATGTTTTTCTTAATAATAATAAAAATACAAGTAATATTCTAAATTATCCTAATATACCGAAATTGTGATTCGGAATATTGGACTGTAAATAGGGTAGCACCCTACCCGGATGTTGTCATGAAGTCAAGCAAAATTAAAAGAAACTATCAACATGATGCTTTGCATATACCTAATAAGGAATTTGTTCCGACCTTAGACCATCTCCAACCCAATGGGTGAAAACTCAAATTTTGAATTTTGAGTTCAAAATTCATCTCCAACCCATGTATTTTCAGGGGTGGAATTTTGGGTGGAATTCCAGTCTGGGTTTTGCCTGGACTGGAAATTTTTTGTGGACCCCAACTCATGCTGCATAGCCCATATGAAGAGGAAAAATGGAGTGGGCCCTACGCGGAAGAAAGTTGCAGCTCTCCCTTTGCTTTTGCATGACAAGTGGCAGCTCACCATTTGTAGTTATTGTTTCTTTCATTTTTTTTATTTATTAAACTTGCAACTTAAAGTTGCTCTATTTGGAGTAAAAAAAAAATTTATGTTTTGAATTTTGGATTTTTTTAGGTTAAAATGTTTAGAAAATTAAATCACGAATGTTGAAATAAAAATAATATCAAGAAAAATTAATGGCAAAAAAAAAATTGAAGGCTAACTATTTTTAAACAATTTAGATAAAGTAGTAGACTCAAATTATGAGTCTACAAGGTTGAAGGAAAAAACAATTTGAGTACTAAAAATACATGAATAGTTGTATTTTAAAGGGTGAAAATTTGAGTTTAGCCTCAACATGGTTGGAGATGGTCTTAGGCCATACTTATAAAGTTGCATGTACCAGTAGGTGTTTTTTCTGAGATGGTGGACTAGTAATTGTTTTACTTTATTCAATTTTGGAACGTTAAATAAATAATTAAAAAAAGCAATGAAAAGGGTAAAATGGGGATGATCAAATGGGAATAAATGGCGAGTTAAATAATAGGACAGGTGTCAACACGAAATAAAAAGGACACCAAAGAACACACAAAATGAGGACAGCAGATCCGGACTCCTGTTACTGTAAGCCAGAAAGTAAGCTCCAAAAATTATAACTTATGTTGCACACAAGAGAGTTCTTTACTTGGGACCCAAAAAAAAACAAGGGAGTTGTTTTGATCAGATGAAGGAAGGTGGGTGGGTTTTGATCAGATGAAGAACTTGAGTTTGAACACAGAGTCCTTTCTTGGTGGTGCAACCATGATGTGCCAAGTGTTGGCACATGATTAAGTTTTGCATTATTTCACATATCCCAGAGCTTTTCTAAGCTGTAGGATTTGAATATTTCTCAAAAGAGAACCTGCTTTAATCTAGAAGGGAATAAAATGAGCATTTGGTAAAGCAAATTTGATTAATTTCACAACTGATTGACCCCAAATACTGTTTTAAGAGAGCTGTCCCACAACTTTTTCTTGCATTGCAAGTTGCAAGTTGCTTATATAAACAGCTCAAAGCCTCAAGTAATTGCAACTTATCAAAAACACATAAACACTAGCTAGTGCACGCTTACAAAAATTTGAGTTTAGATGGCATCAATCAACACAAAGCCAGAGCCAGAGATGGCAATGGAGAAGAAGAACCCAAGTGCAATTGATGGAGTGGTCTTGGGCGAGGGCAACACAACAAAATGTTGCAATGAAACAAAGCATGCATCTGTGATTCCAGCAAAGAGGAGGTCAGTGAAAAAGATGATGTTTGAGTCCATTTTAAAAAGATGATGTTTGAGTCCATTGTCCAATCTGTGGCCTCTGCCAAGAATGACTAATACTACATCTCCTTGTTGTATTGATAGATATGTTTTCTTGTATCTACTTGTATAAATAAAGTTAAGTTTTAATTATTCGTTTCTAATTTGTTTCTTCCACTTCTCTTGTTGGTGGGTGATCGAAATCAATTGCACAATTGATATAATGTGTAGGATTCAGGCTAACCATGTTCCTAATTCATGTATTGAAATATATAAAAAATTCCGCCAACAGGGTCTAGCACTGTGTAAGATGACATGTACTCTCAAGTTCGAAACTCCACGACACTTTGGTGATGTGCGTGCGTGAGAAGCCCCTCCTAATTTTGGCCCCAAAAAAAAATGAAAATTTTCCATAGAGTAATTCGGGAGCATGGCTTGGTTTCTTAAAATTGAGGAGGAACTTTTCCTTAAAACCAATAGAGTTTTGACACTTGTCAAATTCAAGCAACATTGATAAAGCTTCTTTCAACAAAGA